GGTTCGAATGGACCGTTTGGTGCGCACCAAATACTGTCGGTGTGCAGTGAGTGGGTAGCTTGATTCATCAGCTGTTTTCACTTCATGGAAACCGTCTGACCTGGCAGTATTATAATTTATTCACTCGACTCGAGTAGGTGGGTACTTTTCCTTTAACCAATCGCTGCTTTTTGGTCATGACGTTACGTATGTAACGCGCCGCTAACGGGACTAACTGGTATATTAAGCTTTTCAAGGGCAATAACATCTTCCCCCTTGATAAAATTCACCAAGCATTTTCTTTATTCCGGCTTTAAATCCTCAATCTCGGGAATCGTTTACAACACAGAATGTATGGATCTTTGCTGATTGGCTGGTGCCCGAACTCACATTTCCAGGGTTTTTGCGAACTGTCTAGTGTATTCCGACTCCTGACAGAGAAATTAAATTCAGCGGAGGCACTAGGTGGCACCAGCCTGGCTAGTGAGTGGGGTCACCTCTCCCCAAATCTAACCTGTAAATTGGCTCCATGGAGATACATAACTTTATGGCCATACTGTGGATTATTCTCTGCATATGTCCTTGGAGACACGCAGGTGATGGACTATCCAGTAGACAAGGCAAAGGAGAAACTCAATTTGTCAACAGTTGACAAATTGAATTTCTCCTCTGCCATGGATTTTACCTGGACAACTGAGGGATTCTAGACACGTTCAATAGACAAGTTACACAGTGCACCTTTAAAACAATGAAATCATCTTAATGGCAATCTTAAAGAGTTTGGAAAAATAGTTGGCACACAGTTGACCAACCTTATGGACACTTTTAAATCCAGGTTGGTGAAAAAAAGCTAAAGAAATCTTGACAAACTCCACACACACACACCTGTATGAGGTGTTTAAGCTCCTTCCCTCAGGCTGGAGATACTTGGTGCCCAGGTGTAGAAGAAATAGACCTTTATTTTTTTTTTTGTTTTTTTGTTTGTTTGTTTTGTTTTTAATTAAACTATAAAGAGAATACCATTGTGCTGCACCATATTGTCCCATCACGCTTATTTAAAGGTGCATTGTGTAACTTTTTTGATGGAGGGTCCACCAACTGCTTGTCTCCAGAGAGATAATCGTGTTTTGTCTGGAATGTCCTGGTATGGCATTAAATGCATCCATCTTCCATTTACTCAGTAACATGGGTTTTTATTTACCAAAAACTTGCAGTCTTACTGGGAGTTGACTCGCCTCTCGCCAAACTGAGGAGAGAGAAGCAGGTGGCGGACCCTCCACTAGAAAAGTTACTCAGTGCACCTTTAACTTATTGAACTTTTTATTAATTTAAATGATCTTTTTATGTTGTTTTCATGTTGTTTTTATTTTTATGTCTTTGTCCATCGTCATGAGCTGTGCAGTTGAATGAATTGTTTGTAATCACTGACGAAACAATTGCCCCTTGGGGACCTAATAAAATGTTGAAGTAATCGGTCAATTTGTCCTCATTGTTTCAGTGCTTAGCTTTGGTCTTATAAGGTAAAGGTTTTGTTCTGGGCTAAAGGCTCAGTTCATAGCATCCTAAAGACTATATTACAATGGAATATAGAATAGAATATGATTACAGACCAAAAGGCAGCCTTGAATGTTCTATCAAAAGTAAATAAAAATCTATTTACTCCCTGATACCTGATGGTTTCCCTGCCCTGAAAAGACAGCGCTGTGAGTACCATTTTGTGCCTCATTCCATCATTCTTAGATACTCACACAGACCAGAGGATTCAAATCTCACAGCTCAGAGAAGTGAACTACTTGCCCAACCAGCCAGAAGTGACTAGAACTGGACAATAGAGTGAGAAAAACCTCCGTCCAAACTCGAGACGATCCAACCACAGCTGCTAATTTATATCACTTGTCTCTCAAATGTTGGAAATATTTCTCCAAAATTCTCATATAATTTAGAACAAATTATATAACTTATTTTACCAAATAATGGTTGGTTGTTGATTCTGTAAAAATCTATGCTGTTTCTCAATCCTTTATGTTGCTTTTTGTCCTGTAAGGAGCCATGTGTTGTTATTTTTTTTTGATGCAAATGGACCTCTGTGATCGATTAAACCACCTCTGAAATCGGGGAAACAGGATAGGATCCAGAAACACTCACTTTTCAAAACATGTGGGTTTTTTTACCCTGGTTTTTTGTATATTTCTGTCAGAGTGCTTTAACTTGGCAGAGACAAGTGATTCAGTTTCTTCTCTTGCTCTGTGATTGTGAGTAGAACACAAGGAGCAAGAATGTTTAGGGCAATGCAAATTTATTTTAACAACACAAAAGATAAGAGTAAAATAACAAACACATAGTTGACAGTAATTTCAACGCAGCTTTACTCAGCAGCACTTAGTGAGAAGCACTTGAATAAAGACGGGTTTGTTTTTGTTGATGTGCTTGCCGTGTCTTTTTATAGTGCAAATAAACTCCATTCACATCTGTGTAGAGTAAGCCTGCCTCCAGGGCCTAATAAAGAGTGTTCCCATATTCACTTCCACTGTCAGCAGACGCCAGCCTCACACAGCTCCTCTCACTGTGTGTGAGAACAGAGAGTGACAAGACACACTATGGGAATATATCAGTCATGTACTACAGGTCACTGCATTATAAATAACTTGGAACACTGTACATTGTAAGTAAAATTCAGTGTTACAGTATGTACATATTTACTACGTAAATATATGTGTTAGCTTGTTTGGTATTCAAATGCATCTTTCTGATCAAATGACTTGTATATTTGTGTCTCTTTCCAAACTGTTTTCAAAACTAAAATCTAATCTTCCCTCATAAAATTCATAAAATTGGAGAGAGAGTGAGAGATCTTGATACAGTTCAACTTTTGCTGCAGAAACATTTACACTGCTCTTCTCAGTCACCTTTGTGTCTGAGTCAAGTACAGTTGCAGTCTCAGTGCAGTTTAGCAGGAGGACTGGTCAGGGAGGGTCAGCAGATCCTGTGTCAGAGCAGTTTAAGAAGAGGAAGAACAAAAGTGGTCTTCCTCTTTGTCATGCAGCATCACAGCAGTGTCTAGAGAGAGCCAGGCGAACAGAGCAGGAAAGGCCTCACTCTTACTCTGGTCTGGTGTTTCGGCTGGTGATGAGATGAGTCATTCCCTTAGAGTGTTCCCTCTGGACGGTCTCAACATCTTTCCTCCGGAAGGTTATTATGGCTGAATTAGAATTTGTGCTAATTAAAGTATTAATAAGGTAGTTACCAAGTCTGAACCCTTTTTTCATTTGCACATTATGAATGATATCAGACTTAGTGAGGTCTTTGTTTATGTTTATTATTGAAGCAAATAACACATTAGCAATTCACTTTATGGATCTCATGTAAGTGTACAATTGATATAGTAAGTTTAAGATATACAAATTTGTGAAGTTTTCAGCTCTTGCTCCCTTTGAAGATAATGGGTTTACAGTAATGGGGATTAAGCCAGGAGCAGCCATACTTAACCTAAGGTGCTTTTACATTTTTTGTTAGCTTTCTTTAATGTGGTGTATAGTGAGGCCACTGAGTACAGACAGGCTATGAATATATTTCCACAAATTTCTGCACCTACAGATCCCTTTGAAAAGATTGCCTTAGTGCTTCGAAGTGAGAGCTGTATTGTAAGGTGATGCGGTGTATGCAAATGCCGGCCGTATATAAGAGACACTTACTCCATACATAATTATAAGTACATTATCACTACATATTTTGGTTAGTTTCTTACACTGAATGGGAGGATGATGTTAAAGGATGTTTGAGAGTCAGAATTGCCTATTACATATTTTTCCATAAATAAATATGTTTTTAAGATCCATGAGATCATTTCAGTGTATCGTCATAAAATTGGTTGGATTGTGAATAGCTAACTGAGCAATTCATTTAAAGGGCTCATATTCTGATATTTTCTGAACTATGTTCTAATATTGTTTTTTCATCAAAAACACCTGGAGTTTTGTTTTGTTTTATTCACACATGTTTCACACACAAACACGACATATTTAGGCTGAGTTCTTCTCTCAGACTGAAAACACTGTTGCACTTTGTGATGATGACGTGTTAATACAGGAAATTCTCCATTGTGTTTGTAAACTCCATACATCTTCCCTAAAGTAATTTAGATATTTTCAGCCCTGGAATTGCCAGTGTACTGAACACTAAATCCATTGCCGGGTAAACTTTCATCAAGCTAATTATATCTCGAAAGTGTAGCATAATAACCCCTCTTTTTGTCAGTGATCCCAATAGTGACTCCAGTGGTCAGTATACATGCTTCATGCTGGGCTGGCTGCAGTTTATACAGTCTAAAGTGATACTCAGTGAGTTCAGGATGTGTTATGAATCATCTTCGAGGACATACTTATCTCTCCAATGCACTGCACTTTGAATGGTTGGGAAATCTGGAGGACTGCAATTAGTTATGTCTTGGGGTCAGAATGTATAAAAATAGATACTATAGATAAGATTCTTCCTAATTCCAGTTGCTTTATAGAAGTATCAATCCATGTGTAGTCACAGGACACAGTTTTAATATTCGTTTTCATTATCCCAAATTGGCTTTAAGAGAGACACACACAATATTTTTCTTAAGGCATGGTTTGCCATTTCACAGTATCCACGGTAAAGGTAAAGGTGCTGTTTTTATGCCTTTGAGCACTGATACTCATACTTCCAGGTATTACGACAATCCATTTATTTTTTTCTTGGAAGACTGAGTCAATTTACTGTCACACAAGACAGGGGAGCTTAGAGTTGATTGACATAGAAATGCAGAAATATTGGAGAAAATGAATCTGAAAAAGTTGGTGGTGGCAGTCTCTGTATAAACTAGTGTTCCTTAAGTCTTTTCATTAACCAATAAGTATTTGGCTGACATGTGTTTGGAAGAATTTCCCTTTTCAGTTGAATGTAACCTTTATTCTGAATGTGTCCCCACCTTATTTGTTCAGAACACCAATAGCCAAAGGGTGTATAAAACCATGACATTTTCTCTTCTTTTCCAGATGGGAAATGCCTCTGAAACATTTATCCTCGTGTCCCAAATATCAAAAGACAATGACTTCCTTATGGGGACCATTTATACAGTTTTTGGTAAGTGACTTTTTCATTAAACATTCTACTAAATTTTTAGTTGAGGTAAATTGATCGTGGCATGCATTCACTACATGCAGGATAACAGGAAACTGGGAAGTAATTAGCTTGAATAATGCAGCCTCAGTGGTTTGAGGTTGACAGTTTACTTCCAGCTCCTAGTTAGAGCTGCCATCATGTCCACTTCACCAAAACATGCCAGTGTTTGAATGTGCTGTGTGAGTGAGCGATTGGTGGGAGTTAGTGGCACAGACTGGCAGCCCCATTTTCAGCAACACACAAAAAAGGTAAAAGCGACTAACTGATGAAAAACTAATGCAAGCTACCTTGTGATTGTAATGTTATGTTTACATCTTGTTTAAGTCTCATCTCACCTGTTGTAGGTCCGGCTAAGTCAATTATTTCTTGTCAGATTCTGTTAAAATAAAGCTCAATTTATAGTCCAACAAGCCTCCGATAGAGAATTACACCCCCAAGAAATGTTGACGACATCATCTGCAAAGTATCAATACAATATGTGACATGTAGTACAGTCTTGAAACATGAATGATGTACTGTAAATGACATGACTCCTCTCTTTGCCCCAGGCGTGCTGTCAGTGCTCGGGAATGGCACGCTGCTGTTTGTGGCGTATAGAAAGAAGTCCACCCTGAAGCCGGCAGAGTTCTTTGTGGTGAATCTGGCCATCAGTGACCTAGGCATGACCATCACACTGTTCCCTCTGGCCATCCCCTCAGCCTTCACCCACATGTGAGTCCCATTAACACCCTCACACCTCAGGCAACTGCACCCACTCCTGACTCACCCTCTCACTCACAGGTTAGAAAGGTTAGGTAAAATACAAATGTCAAGAATATATCAACTCAAAAGTAAAGGACTACAAAACTATGAAATAAAATATAAAAGAGTATTTCTACAGCGCTGTTACTGGTCTCAAGATACACACAGTCTCATTTGTATCGTTACATTATGCTTAATTTCAAAGTATTTTGAAATAATTGGCAATCTGGTGGGTTGAAGCTGCTTATATTACGTAAAACTGACTCTTGTAAGATTTAAGCCATGTTAGAATGTTATTACCTCATCAAAGACATACCCGGAGTTGTGTTTTGTTTCATTCACACATGTTTCAGTAATCCTTTATTATTAGTCTGTCTGCATTTTCAAAGCTCAATGTGCTCTGTTCCACAGCCAAAATATGCAGGGTTTGTGTGTTAAACATGTGTGAATGAAACAAAATACAACTCTGGGTATGTTTCTGATGAAGAAACATAGATCAGAAAATAATGTAATATAGTCCCTTTAAGCAATTTTGTGTGTAATGTCCAATATCTGTTGTCCAAATAAAAAAGTAGCAATTTCAGTCAGTTAGTTTTGATCCAATACAAAGTAATAATACCGTAATGTGATTTATGCATCTGTTTGGAGACTTTACCATGACTATTATGGTGATGCAACGTAAAGGGGGAGAAGATGTCAGTGGTCTTGTTTCTTTCTTTTATTAAGGAATTAAGTAATGTTATCAATATTGTAAAACCCTCTTGTGCCCACTAAAGAACCCAAATAGATCAAAATCATCAAAATCATGAACTAAAAATAGGGAGCATGGTGAGAAAACAGAAGAAGGTGCAAGTCAACCATGTACAGGGCTGTGGAAGCCAGTGCTTACACAGGATAAGATATTAGTATGAGACAAGATTCAACGAGTTCAAGCATTTCAACTGGAATTTTAGTGAAACGTTTAGGTAATGATTCAACAGAGTAAAACTTTTTAATATTTAAGACTTTTTAATACATTGTTAGTCATAAATAATCAATGTAATGGTGCTGAACTGACCCATAATCACTACCCAAAAATGGTCCACTATAGTGACAGTCAATGCCGAATAATGAGTTTCTCATTTCTGCAACTCTGACAAGCTCTGTAACAGTCTTACCACTGAATACATGCATGCGGTGTAATGTGAAGGTATAAAATGATTGGAGACCTAAGACCTTGTATTTGAGGCCAGTATCATCATTCTTAATGGCCTGTCACTCATGGTCCATGGACTCCCAGTCTGCTCTGATCCCCTGAGCGCCGCCTGCTGATTGCTGTCACCAGGGCTGGGATGGGTCAAATGCATGGCTGCCCTCCTCATCAGACTAAAGTAGAGGGGAAGAGAGAGAAGAACAGAATACTTATACAGGCTCGCTATGAAAGAAATGATTCAACAAAAGGAGATTTAAGCGTTGGTGGAGAGATTACTGAAAATCTGAACTCAACTAAAGGTGCAGTTACATGGCTAACTGTTGTAAAATGATTGACTAATCCACATGTCAATCACATCCATCTGAACTCGGGGTGACCAGACGCACATCTTTGTAAAGTACTGGAGAAGTGTGTATTCCTTGTCTATAGGCGACTAGGTAGTTTATTTTTTTGCACAATTTAGAACATTTCTAGTGGAGGGTCCGCCACCTGCTTGTCTCCAGGGAAATGTTATTGCTTTGTCTAGAATGTTCCACAGTATAGATTAAACCCATGAATCACGAGGGAGACAAGCAGGTTACAGCACTACGCTAGATTGCAAATTCACATCTGTGGAGAGTCACCCCTGTTCACAGAAGCAATGAATGTATGCACACAAAACACCTGTGATGAATAAACACTACAGATATGTTTAATGTCATACTGTGGAACATTCCAGGCAAAGCAATACAGTTGCATGATTGAACAGCTCAATTACAAGTACAGATTTAAAAGTCTCATCAAAGTACAATTAACTAAACAAATCTACTCAGATACGGTAACATGAGTATTTGCAAATAATCCATCTTTAGCTCTGGTGAACAGTCCCATCTTTGTGTTTCTCTGAGCGAGACAGATTGCTCAAGAGAGAAGGTAATATGTAAATACTGGTTACTGCTAAACCTTTGATTGTGTGGACTTATTTATAAAAGTAAATAGTGAAGAAAATAGCAGTATGTCTTAGTCAATTAAATCACTTCAAAGAAAAAAGGACTGAGATGCAGAAAGTAGAGTAGTTATAATGAGTAACAAGTGGAGCAAACTCAGAAAGCAGTGAGTCCATGAATAAAAGGTTGCATACGTGGGCAGGTGGAATAGCCTATGTAAACACTGTGGTGAAAATGCAAATGTTTAACAACCCTTGCCTTTATAATAACTTGCACAGTGAATTAATGTAGTACATCTGTGGTAGTGACTGAATGGTTCTTGTGTGGAGTGGAAATTATTAGAATTTGCATACAACTACATCATTTAAAGGTGCAATATGTAACCTCTCTGATGGAAGGTCAGCTATCTATTTGTCTCCATGGAGTCATCAATGCTTTGTCTGGAATGTTCTACAGTGTGGTATTAAATATATCTATCACCAGGCCACCATGTCTTTAAAGCTTTTGGTGCAGCTGTTCACACTGTAATTGAATAAAAGTTATGGAAAAAATGAAAGATAAAAACAGCTGTGTCTCTGTCTTTCATTTGGTTTGAAACGGGCCAGTGCAGCTCTGTTGCTGTTACAGGGCCTATTTTACGCAATCTTCTGATCTACGTTATAATGTGGTTTCTTCATCAAAAACATACCTGGAGTCCTGTTTTGTTTCATTCACACATGTTTAACACACAAATCCTGCAAATTTACGCTGAGTGATGTTATGTGGTAATACAAGAAGTGCTCCACTGTGTTTCTGAACTCCAGACGCCTTCACTAGAATCATTTGGATGATTTCAGCCCTGGACGTCTCTATTTCTACTGAACACTGAACAAAAGGTAACTTGAAAACTACTACTACATCACATGACAAACGGGAACAGAGCATTTTGAGCTTTGGAGATGCAGACAATTTAATAATGCCGCATTACTCAAACATGTGTGAATGAAACAAAACACAACTCCTGCACCGGGTCGGGTACACGCCGGGTACAGGCAAATGGTTGCTGAAACAGGCGGGTTTTGACGTTCTGGAATTTTACGTGCACATGGGCGGGTCAGTACTAAATCAGGACTAAACCAGGACTACATCAGGATTAATCTTGGAGAGAGAGAGAGCGCGATCGGGCGATGGCCACACTCACCTCCATGCGGCGCAGAGCTCTGCACCGGTCTTTTCATCTGCGGTCACCCAATAGTTTACACGGGTGCACCTCCAAGCCCGTCCTGACAGTGAGTCCTGGTTAAGTTCTGGTTTAGTCCTGCTTTAGTCCTAGTTCAGTTCTGGTTTAGTCCTAGTTCAGTCCTGGAATTAGTCCTAGGGTAGTCCTGGTTTAGTCCTGGTTTAGTCCTGTTCAGTCCGTATGCGGTGCAAAAGTGCGGCTTGATCAGTGTTTCTTCTGCTCAGTAAATAATGCCTGTGAAGTGATGACAGTCGAGTTACGTGTGTGAATTCGTGTTTGTACTGAAGAAAATGTAACTGTTTTATTTCATTTCGTGATTGTAATTCTTGAAGTTGTTACTTTTCAGTTTGTATTCTGATGGATGCTTCAGTTAGAATACTTTTAATTTGTGTACGATTTATCATGGACACGGGCAGGTAACGGTTGGTGTGGGTTTAACTTGGATAAAATCAGAGGTTAACAGGTGGGTGTGGTGCTGTACTGCACAGGTGCAGGTGGGTGCAGGTCTCCAAAAATGGACCCGTGCAGGACTAACTCCAGGTATGTTTTTGATGAGGTAGCAGTATTCAAACATGGCTTAAAGCTCACAAGTCCATTTTGTGTAATAAAGGACCTTTAAAGCTAGTGGATCCTTGTTCTAGGCAAAGCAATAACATCTCCATGAAGACAGCCAGAGGGCTTACCAGCACCAGAAAAGTTACATAATGCAGCTTTAAGCTAATTTTTTATGCACAGTACTAATATTTTTCTTTTCCTCTCCCTTAGGTGGTTGTTCAACAAAATCACCTGCATTATCTATGCGTTCTGTGGAGTCCTCTTCGGTCTCTGCAGCCTGACCAACCTCACCGTGCTGTCGAGTGTGTGCTGGCTCAAGGTCTGCTGCCCAAACCATGGTAAGACTCCACACCCCCTAGCCCCGCCCCCTCCCCCCTTTCCCCCTCCACTTTTCCTAATGAGAGATTCTCGTCAAAGAGGAATGCCTTATTGACTCCCTCATTTAAACCTGCCCTGGGGCCATATACTTGCAGTCTTAAGGAAAATACAGCAAAACAGCATCAAGCCACTTTGGGAGTACTTTGGTTTCATGCAAAAATTGTCATTATGTAATTATTTTTAAGGGTCAGCAGTTCATCCTTTATGAAGGATGATATGTAAATGAGATGATTACAAGGTCTGCGTTCATGTGAATCCCAGAGGGGCTATTTCTGCAAAAAAAAAAGAAAAAAGAAAATGGAAAATGGAAAAAATAGAAGCATTCCAATTACGGAGATCTCGTAATTTCCCGGTTGCATTCCCAGTTGTGTGTTTACAGGCAGAGTGCATAGCAAGTGGGTAACACAACTATTAAATTATATGTGCTGCTTATTACACAGTACCTCTTGCATTGCATGTAACTATCTTTGTTGTCAGATACTGTTTACACTTCATTTAAGCTGCCACTGAAAGATCTATTTTCCTTTTTTCTATAAACAATCAAAGCTGAATTAATTTTATTTCATGTATATTCATATATTTTGTTAAAATGCAATGATAAAAACAACACTGACCTTGACCAGTTACTCCACCAATGATCACCATTATGTCCATTAAAGTGGCGGTGCCCTTTTTTTCCCAGGTACTTGAGCAAAATGTATCTTACTCCATTACAGATATTTTATAAAACAGCTCCCGATGTCAAAATGAGATAGTGTGCTAGTTATCATTAGCTTTACCATAATGCAACTCTTATAAACTCATTGAGGTGAATAATTAGGACGTGTTGAAGGTAAGTGACAAATATGTTCAGACCACTAGAACCCTTTGAAAATAATTTAGTTTTTCACATTGTTAAGACAGTAAAAAAACTGTTCCTATAAACAGTTTTCAGACCTTCAGAATTGCTGCTTGTGTGTTGAATGTAGTAGCTGCCCTTGATCTTGTCATTACTATTATGCAGATCTTAAAGTTAATTGCTATAGTCTTGTGTTACAATTGGAATGTGTGAAGAAAACACCGTTCTTTGTGTCCTTCATGTGTTATGTGACTGTTTAAATACATATAAAGATGGATGTTTAAAGCTTGAATATGAAATGCAATGCTACACATTCCTGTTTAGACCACTTTAACACTTGTTATGCCCGAGGAGTCTTGGGTGTAACTCTCCTCACAGACTTTAATTCACACATTTATGCCATGACAGAACAAAAGCTTCCTACCCCTATATACTATAAATTTGTTGGATTTTCATTATCAGTCTCTAATTCACAACAGTGATGTCTACTGAGATTTTAAAGCTATGTAAATAAATTCAGGACTTCAAGGGCAGTAACACGGTCAGCTAATTACTCACCGCTGTAATTGCTGTTGGCTCCTAACTCATGTTATGTAATAGGATTTTTTTCAATTGGGATTAAACCCTGACTGTGCCAGGCTGTTTTCATAAATGTGTTTATGCTCCAGACTCATTTCGTGTGCTGTCCAAGTATCTTATCAGAAAAAGAAAAGACAATTTTGTTGTGTTTCCATCGAAAGTAAAGCAAAACTAAAAAAATAATAAAGGAAAAATGTGCCCAGGCATTTGAGAATAGATGGACTAAAATCAAATTTGAATTGGAGAGCTTTAAAATAAGCCTAGTAGCACTGCATTTCTGATGCCCATTCATACCTTTCACATACAATATGCATTTGAACTCACAGCAAAATATTGTAATGGTGTGGGTTTTTTTTGTTTGTTTGTTTGTTTGTTTTTTTCTTTCTTCAAATTAGGGGAAATTATGCTTAACCTCCTTCATGCTATAATGATACATATATATTTACACTTTAGTTACTAAATGACCATTGCGCAGAAAACAGTTTGACATCAATAATTAGCAGGTCAGGAAGTCCCATTAAAACTCACTGATGCCAACAGTCTAACTGCTCATAGATCCGTGTGTGTTTGAGCAGTTCATTTGATTTCATTCAGTTTGAGAGCCTCATCAGTCACTGGTGATCTGCTCATTAAAGCATCATTATATTCATTCATATGTGATAATGAGTGAATGCCACACTGCCCCCGAGTCGTACATCACCTCTTATTATTTACTTAAGCCGAAGTGTGCTCCAGTACATGACACCACCACACTCTTAAAGACAATATAAGATGATTATTTGCAAACACTGCATCAAAAAAGGCAACACTTTAGTGTTATAGCTCAACACAGGGGACATGGGAACTTTGACATTGATTCTTAAGTTCTTGATATTATTTTAAATTAGAATCTGGAGGCCTAAAGCTACTTAAGGCAACATCCCTCCTCCCAAATTGTATAATTGAAATGCAAATTAACAAATAATTACACAGTTTGATGAAAAAAGGATGCCCTTAAGTGATTTTTTGGACCAATCAGAACAAAATGACATTCTGGCAAACGAGACACACATGCAAAGAAGCGTGCATATTGCTGGCAGATCCAGAGAACTGAGCATAAAATAGCAGTGGAGGGAGGCAGCCCTTACTTAATCCATTTAACCCAACAACCACATGTGCATGTATAAAATTGTGAATTTAGATACATAAAAGCTATTCCATTTACCTAATGTTTTTGGTTACTTTTCATGTTTGAGGACCTGAACAAATCCATTTGAATAATCTTCATTTATTTAACATTCTTGGAAGCAAACTGTTCTCCAAAATTCCATGAATATTCATGAAAAAAATGCTTAAATGTACTAATGGGGGATTATACAATTGATACTTTGCAGCTGATGATTTGCTGGGGATGTGATGCTAACCATAGGCACTGCTCCTTCTGACAACACAATCTATAAAAAAGAACTGACTTAGCTGGAGCTATAACAGGTGACCTGATCTGTGCTGTTAAACAAGTCCCTCTCAAATAACATCACAGTCACTAGCTAAGTAGTGTCAATCACTCTCACGTTTTTGTTGAAAAACAAACACATCAGCAGGACCATGAACACTCGTACGTAGGCTCCTGAAAAATGTGTTGTTTAAAACCATTTTGTACTTTTTCAGATGATCTTAAACATTTTCCTGGCAGTGTTTGCTGTGTGCATTTTATCTCCATGGTAACAAATATTCTGCCATACAGATACATGTAGAACACCCCCAGCGTGATGTTACTGCAAACTGAAGACAAATGCACTTGACAGATAGACATGGATGCACTGCGATATGCTCAGCTTTCCTGTATGTTTTCTCTCTCTCTTTCTGTTTTTCTTTCTGTCTCTGTTTCTCTTTCACTCTGCAGTAGTCCTGTTAATGAACCAATACTGACAAACAAATTTACCTCCAGCTCGCCTTTCTAACATGGGAACATAGTCTCAGGATCCTCTATTTGCTGCAAATCAACTGATAATGATTTCTGCAGAGGGAGTCATGGGTAACTGCATCAAAATCCATACAGGAAGAAGGGGCATATGGTCAGGTCTAACACTGTACCAAAGCTCCTACTGTGCTAAGTAATTGGGTTTTTCAGTGGCTTCAAGGAGGTGAGCAAGACACTGGAATCAATGTTAGACCTGAACAAGGTGGGGGTGAATAATAGGACTGGTTTTCTCAATTACTGATTACTATTGGTTAATGCTCAGGTACCTGATTTTCAAACAGCGAAAGGAGGAAGTAGGTTTTTAAAGGCGCTTACCTGTTTTTACTGTCTTAAAAACAGAACTAGTTCATTTTAAATGGTTGACACTGATCAAGTTATTCCTCGCTTGCATTATGGGCATCCTAATTATTGATCGCAATCAAGTTTATAAGCACTTTTCACAAAAAAGCAGAGTTTTGTCATCAAGGTGAAGCTAACAACATGCTAACGCACACTTCCTGATTATCAGACAATAAAACTCTTTATAATAAGATACCATAGTGGACATATGTTCATCCTGCATATAAAATGTGTACATCAAATATTTGCACTGGAGTATAACACATTTTACTCAAATACATGGGAAAAAATTGGTACAGGGTTTTTAGAACCATCTAACTTGTTTTTAGAGTTTAGCTTTGTGATCTTAATCATCCAGTTCCAGTGTGCTTACTTGAAGCCCTGTTCAATGGAGTTCAATGTTTCTGTTAATTACTGAAAAGTCTAATTGCACTCACACCCATTAACATTTTTAATTATGTTTTAGAGGCAAAAGGTGAATACAGTTTTCTTTGTCATGCCAGAGTTTTATTTTGAGTCGTCAGTGTTTGAAAAAAAAAGCAGGTTATGTGTGTTAATTGCCAACTGAACCTTATTGTGATTTATCTGCCTGTTATTTTGTCCCTGTTGCGGTATGATAGTAATGATAATGTAGAGCAAGTCCTAACTGCTACTTCTGGTTTTATTGGCCCTCAGGCTTTCTGCTAAAATTGACTAATTGATCATAGTCATTCATTTTTAACAGCAAATATAAGTAATTCTACCACTATTACTCCAATACCATCACATTGCATTGAGATACAGACCTAAAATTAATTTTTCAAGCCTCATTAAAGGTACAGTGGGTGTGTGAAAGCAGTGTTAAATGCACCCATCTGAATGATCCACTGTATTAGCCACTGTTCTGGGTCCTCTGCTTCGGATATGTTTCAAGATGTGGTCTTTGATGAAAAAAGTTTGGACGCTGATGTAGAGCATAACAACCCGCTTGTATGTTAGACCCTCCTGAGCACTCCGCCTACAAGATTGACCAGTCTATGTGACACTGGGGATGCTTCAAATCTATTACAGCCATCAGTAACAGCTAACCGCGTCTTTCCTGCAATCCAGAGCCCACTATAGAGCTTAATCACCTTTTTCTCTTTTTTCACCTCTCCCCGTCTCTCCCTATTCCACTCTGTCCTTCCTCCCCTGTGTGTGTTTGAACCAGAGAGACTGTGACATGCTGCTGAAGAGGCCCTTGCCTCTACAGATAAGGATGCCTGTGTTTGGGCATTGGCACTGTGGAGAGAAGCATGTGTCTCAATCAATTAAAACAGCTGCTTTACTGTTTTTGGAGCTCTCTGGATGTCTTTATTCACTATGTACAGCTTGAGTGTAAAGACCAAACAGACACATCACCTGTATTGATTACATGAGCTGAGTGCTACTGGTCAGTGGTCCTCACACACTTCTTGATTATTTGACATAGGCAGTTGTCACTTGTGCCAAGATAACAGCTCAGATCAAGCACTGGCTCTGTCTCTCAGTGGTAATGATTTTTGACAATGTACCCAAGCTGCTGCTGAATTCAATTTCAATCAGTACTGTCGTCTAGAAAGCTGTACTTCCTCCACTTAAGTATGGTATAAAAGTGGAAATACAGAACCATAAAAAACTGAATGCGAAAGCTGTTATCTAACACATCAAAGGCAGCAATGTTTTTCCACAGACATGTTTCTTCCCATATGAAATTAGGACTTTTGCATATCCCATCAATTACTAATGGCTACAATATACAACTGAGAGTACAATTCTAAAGGATTCTTTACCGGGTCTTTTATTTATTATTTTAGCTTCTGGCGTTATGGTCTCTACTAGAGTTGTCACGGTACTAAAATTGCAAACTCGATTTTGACACTAAAATATACTCAATACCAACAGCACAATGATAATTAAAAAAAAACTAAAAAAAAACTCATTCTTTAGAAATTGAATGTAAAGCATAGTACTTTCTTTTATATGACCATGTAATTTTATATGACTATGTAATCCCACAATTCAGATAGGTTCCATGGTGGTCCATGTGCGTATACCAGGGGTCAACAAACTAAGGCCCGCGGTCCAACTCCGGCTCTTCATGCCCCTTTGACTGGCCCCTCTGTCCCTCACCACTTGAACTGGCCCTATGGGGCAATCCTTAAAAGTTGTCATGGCCTATTTTTTATTATTATTATTATTAATTACATCTGCATCTTGTATTTTGTAGATTTTTGTAAATTATATATATATATATATATATATATATATATTATATATATATATATATATATATATATATATGAAGTATTTATTTATATTTAAATAATTATAACATGTATTTACATTTGCCACCGAATTTTCGTCACCTGACAAGCTCGAGATTAAACAATGACAGTTAACACATGTGTAGAGTACGGTAGTGCAGTAAAGGACAGCAAAATGTCTAGTGTTAAAGTACGAAAAGTTGACAGAGAGTGCAGAGTTTTCAAATAACAGTGGATGGCTGATTATTTTTTTGTTCAGTGTAAGGACTGTGAAGTTTGTCTGATATGTAAAGAAAGTGTGGCGGTCTTCAAAAAATATAATCTGCATCATCAGGGTCATACAATTCTGTTATACAGCTGACCCGACCCTGGCCCCCCATCACAGTCAGATGCAATAATGTGGCCCCCAGAGAAAAAGTTTGGTGACGCCTGGCATATACAAACCTATGTGGTCTTATATTTCTTCTGTTCAGCTCAAGATCATCTCTGTCCTGTGGATGTGACTTACCTGCTCAAATGAGTATCTAGTATCAGATTTTCAATACTTTTGACAACCTTTTTGTTTAATTCTATCACAGATCCCAACCTGTACATGCACAACTCATATACAGTTGTTACTCTGGTCTGTTCTCATCCAGAATCATTCCCTTTTCTCTCTACATCTTCTGTCCTCAGGTAGTAAGTTCTCGTCCTCACACGCCTCCCTGCTGGTCGCCGGAGTGTGGTGCTATGCTGGAATATTTGCAGTGGGACCCCTGTCAGGATGGGGTCAGTATGGAGCAGAGCCTTATGGGACAGCCTGCTGCATAGACTGGCACGCTCCCAGTGAGAAGTCCTCGGCCATGAGCTACATTGTGTGTCTGTTCTTCTTCTGCTACATCGTGCCATGTACCGTCATCTTCCTTTCCTACACCTTCATCCTGATGACTGTGCGAGGGTCCCGACAGGCAGTTCAGCAGCACATGTCCCCCCAGAACAAGATCACCAACGCACATGCATTAATTATCAAGGTACCCTTAATGTCACACTGTTGATTTAATGTTGCTGGGAAAACTGCCTGACTTTATTATTACCATTATGTCAGATGATAATAATTTAGAGTATTTGCCCCTCAACCCAAAGGTCAGAGGTTCATGCATGTAACAGCATTATAACATGGCTTAAAGTTCTCAAGAATCTATTTTGTGCAATATAGGACCTTTAAGTAAGTATAAACTAGGCAGACTTTCTTTGTTTTTACTGTGTTTTCCTTTCCAGCTCTCGGTGGCAGTATGCATTGGCTTCCTCACAGCCTGGAGTCCTTATGCTGTGGTGTCTATGTGGGCCGCATTCGGGAACCCAGAGACTGTGCCTCCTATGGCCTTTGCTCTGGCAGCTATATTTGCCAAGTCGTCCACCCTTTACAACCCCATCGTATATCTCCTCTTTAAACCCAACTTCCGCAAGTCACTGTGCCGGGACGTGGCCCAGTGCAAGACCATGTTCTGTGGGTGTTTCTGTGGCGACAGCTCCCCACAGAAGGGAGTGTGCAGAGACGCTCATTTTAAAGAAGAATGCAACTCCACGCGCTTGTCCAATGGGCTGCCGGAGAACCATGGGACCTGCAGGCACTGCCCCTGGCCAGCTTCCTCCCCGGGACATGGGGGGCACTGCGAGGGGCACAGTCCACAGCAGACTGCCAGGATACTGAAAGGATCTCTGCACAGCGAAGTGGCCGTCAGTCAACTGTCCAACGAGCTACAAAGTGACTTCCTCTAGGCTGGGACAGTCAAGAGGAGAGGGAAAAGGGAAAAGTCTGTTCAGATTATGAAGAATATGATGAGGCATAGCATACTCCGCTTTAATATGCACCTCTTTATCCTACAAACTGTGATGTATGTATCCAATTTTATGATGAGATTTTCCATGGACTTCCCATTGTGTCATGTTTTGGAAAATGTACTGACGACAGCAGACAAGTTCTCTGACATTACAATCATATCTCGATGCTTCTGACACATCAACAGTAATAATAAGGAAATAAGCTGTGTTGTTGAAATCATTATCAATATGTTATGCCTGATTGGTGTATACCTGCACTTAAGCTCACGCTATAGGCAAAAGCTGATGGAAGGTACTTAAATACACAAAGAAGTTAGGAATATTTTGACGTTCCAGGGAGAATACAGCTTATCACAAACCTATACTATTTAAAATATCAATGAAAAAAAAAAACATTTGAACTATGCTGATCCATTTTCTCTGAGTTTACAGACTTGCAAAAACAGTTACAGGGACTGGGGTTGCTCGTATGGTGAAGACAACACCACTCTGAACTATTGTCCCTTTCCTCTCTGAGAGTTACGTCAATGTGAAGCTGATCTTATGCCTCAAATACAAGTTACTGCCAAAAACATACAATGATAATGTTATAATCAAAAATGAGCCAAACAAACACTTTATAACATGCATGCAAAGCGGACATGACATAGACTGCCTTTTATATCAATATTTATTAAATACTGTATATAGAGATGTAATGTTGTGCATGCTTCTAACAAAGACAGGGTTGTTGAAGTTTCTCTTAGTAAAAGTTTAGAAGTTAATTTAACAAAAGTCACACCATCTACCTCTAAAGCTAAGCAGGGTCCAAAAAGGATCCCAAATGCTATCAATGTTGGTTCTGTCTCAGTAGCCATAGCGCTTTTCAAAAGAAGATATTTTGGAGATGAATATACAGTATGTTACCAAATCTAAAGTACTTAGTAATGTCTATTGATGTTGTGCTTGTTTATGTTTGTCTGGTCATTGTAAAAGCCATGATCAAAACGCCTCAAAGTTCAAACGAGAAGACTAATTTAAAATCATATTTATATAGTAAACAGAAATCTTAGTAATGTTGACGTTATGTGTGTTTGTATGTACAGCATGTGAATGGAGAGCTGGCTCTTTCAAAAATGCTGGAGAAGAAAGTTTACTCTACAGTGTTGCTGTGTTTGTATCAATAAGACTTATCAGGTGCAATTCAAAAAGCTGTTCTCAAGATTTACTAAGCGCAAAAGGGGAACTGTTTGTCTGTGTTTAAAGGTGCACTATGTTTTGGTTGGGGGTCTGTCACCTGCTTGTTGCTATGGATATGTCATTGTTCTGCCTGGATCGTTCCACAGTATGGCATTAAACAGTTCTAGATGAAGATAAACATTACTTACATTTTTTTTTTTATTACAGGTAGTTTTATAGCTCAAAAATATCTTGGAAAAACAAGCATTCTTATTTTGAGACTCCTTTAAAGATGCACTGCACAACTTTTCTGGTGGAGGCTTCGCTACCCACTGGTTTCCATGGAAATGTTATTGCTTTGCCTGGAATGTTCCATGGTATGACATTAAACACTAGCCTGATTCATCAGCCGGTTTCACTTTGTGGAAACCGTTTGACCTTGCAGCATTAGGATTTGTTCACTCGATGGTAGTTGGGTACTTTTTTAATTTAACCAATCACTGCTATTTGGTTGTGATGTATGACACTCAGTGGTGTCCAAGGAATTGCCAGCACAACAGCAAACAAAGCAGGGAAAAAATCCTCGATCTCGGGAATCGTTGCCAACACAGAATATGTGGCTTTGTCTACATCCATCTCGATCGCTTTGTTTACTGTTGTGCTCTACCACAAAAGGGACTCAGACAGGCACTTGAGTTTGAAGTCATAGCTTCACAGCTCTTCGCTGGTTGGCTGGTGCATGGTCTACAACTTCCGGGGTTCTTGTAAACTGTCTAGTGTAGATTGATTTCCGATCTAGTCGCTGGAGAGAAATGAAATTGAGCAGAGGTACTAGGTGGCACCAGACTGGCACACACCCATCTGGTATTTATTCATTATGGGTGTTTCTGTTGCTCACAACACAACAATTCCTTGTTGATTTCTCCACAGATCTAAATTGTAATGTAGCGTAATGCTGTAACCTGCTTGTTCTCTCTTGTGAATTCTTGTTTAATCTATACTGTGGAAGATTCTAGACAAAGCAATAACATTTCCATGGAGACAAGCAGGTGTCAGACCCTCCACTAGTAATGTTACGCAATGCACCTTTAAGACTCACACACACTGGGGGGTATTGTTGGAGAAAGGAATCACAAACCCCAGCAGACTGCATATGCACTTCGGCTTCATCTTAAGAGCCACAGACTGAAATTTACTTTTTTATTTTTAACACTGAATCCCCCACAAATGGATAAATAAGATGTCTATATTGTTGCAGAAAACTTGCACACGGAGAGGGTGATTTTGAGAGCCCTGTTGCGTTTGGCAAATCTTTGGAACAACAATTTTTTCTGTATTTGTGTTCAAAATCCAAGCAGAAACATTGTGCAGGTTTGTTTTTCTAAGGTGCCTCTGCGTGCATGTGCTTTCCTGAACTTCTAACCTACATTTTCAATTTCTTCACGCCATCAGATAATACATCATAAATAGCTCTGTATATAAATATGTCCAAGCCAGTTATGTGCTGAACGTACTCTATGCATGGATCAAAAGCCTCATGAAGAAGTTGGAAGTGGTTGGCAGCAGTAGACATGCAAACATTATTCTAATAGAAAGTGCCCCGTGAGCATGGATGAGCTTAAGATGAGTTTGTCCAACATGCACTTCTGATAACAGCCCAGGGAGGCCATCAAAGAGAAAATGCTTCAGTAAGATAAATGGGATCTGCTTTTAAGTTCATGTTTTTGGTGACTAGGATAGCGTTTGACTATATACTGAGACGCTCACACCATCTGCTCGTCTCCGCACCTCTTCACATGTTTTATATGGAATACCTAAGCCTCCCGTTTTGTGCTTTCTCTTCCAGTTTAGTTTAAATCATCCGCTGGAAGTCATGCAAAACCCCCATGTCAGCATATGTATGGCATTCCGCTGCTCCCTGCAATCTTTTGTAATTCAGAGGGTGTCCTGCTTACTGCCACGGTGATAAATAGCTTTTCTCCACTACAGTGAATAGTTAAATTGGGCTTTTACATGACAGTGACTACAGAGATGAGACCCCCATATATAATACAATGAAGATCGAGTGCAGTTACTGGCTGCCAAAGGACTGACAATACTGGAGGAACCTCCTTGTCGATGCCGATTGCGTCTGATCTCGGAAGCTAAGAAGGGTGGGGCCTGGTTAGCACTTGGATGGGAGACCGCTGAGAGTAGCATGTTCTAGTGCATACTGGCGTTGTCTCACTTCACCGACATTACCTAGTAGAAATGTGGTTTGTGAGTAGGTGATTGGTGGTGGTCAGAGCAGCCAATGCAGCAGCTTGGCAGCCTCACGTGAGTTGCTTTAGTCAGTAATCAGACCAGTGGTGGAACATAATGAAGTAAAAACAGTTAAGTACTATACTGAAGTAAAAAATGTAGGTATCTGTACTTTACTTAAATACATTTTACAGTGGGTACTTTTTACTTTTACTTCACTACATTTGAGAGCAGGTATCTGTACTTTCCACTCCACTACATTTTTGAACATGATTGAAAAGTATTTATTTTTTTCTGAGACCTGCTGAAAAGGTTGAGAGGTTTGTCAAATAGTTTAGTACTGTACTTAAGTAAAAAAATAATAAATAATAATAATTAATAATAATAATAATAATAATAATAATAATAGAAAAAATTTAAATAATTAAGTACTGCAAAAAATAATTAAGTACTGTGCTCAAGTAAAAAATTTAAGTATCTGTACTTTACATAAATACATTTTACAGTGAGACCTGCTAAAAAGGTTGAGAGGTTTATTCTTAACACATTTGAAGTTTGAGCAAACAAAATATACAAAAAATAATAATAATACTTCAATTGTTTCTGCTGAAAAAAAAATCAGCTCAAATCTGTATCAAAATCACTACCTTTACTAGATCTCAAAATCTTTGCAAAATACTTTTACTTTTTACTCTTTGATTACATTTTTAAACGGGTACTTTCATTCTGATTTTTTCAGATGATACTTTTACGTTTAGTTGAGTATTTTTTGCTCCAGTATCTGTACAAGATTGAGTACTTCATCCACCACTGAGTCAGACCAATGTTTTCTTCCCCCTCTTACAATTCGGGGCAATGTTGGACTGTAAAGACATCGTGCATATGTATGGCTGAACTCCAAACTTATACGCATTTAAAATATGCAGATTCCCATTCAAAGACAACCGTTAAACTGTGGCTCTCTGTGTCCTGCTGCCTGATCTTCTGTACACTTCAAACCAGGCATCAAACTGTGAAAATCTGATGTCTATATTTTGTCTCAAGGAAAAATGCAAATGAAACCGTTATATTTCTGCATTACTAGCCATTCCCGTTCATTAAGATTCATAAAATGTGCATAGTTTGTATAATATAGATAAACATATGAACAGTCAGGGATTTCTATGTCGATGTTGTTTTGCATGAGCGTCTATGAGGTCTATGTAAAGACTCAATTTGATTTGTGTATTATTTATGTTGGCCTCGGGTTGGGGCTTAAAGCTGCTGTGTTGGGTTTGATGTGCATTGGCAGCTGAGGTGGCTGAGTTGAAGGCTTCTCTCTGCAGGTGGCTTTGGTTTCTTATACTTTACTTTCATAAGCTGTGTGGTAGACTGTTGCATGCTGGGTGACCACTTTGAAAAGGTTTCGGTGTAATTATTCATAATGTTTACCAGTTCACTGAAAATTGCCATATATAAATACAAAAAACGTATGTCCATTTGTTATTACTAAATACTGTTTCTTCAGTCATCTAAAGGACAGTATATAAAAAAATCTC